TTTCTTCTTTTATCATCTCTTTTGTTTTATTACACTTTATCTTCTTTCTTTTTATATTCTCTCCTTTCTACTTTTATTCTTTCTTCATCATATTCTACTTCTTACTTTCTTTTTATTCTTTTATATCATTCATTCTCTTCTTTTTCAATTATTCGCTTTTTTTCGTTGCCCATTTAGTTTATATTAGTTTCATTCATTATTAAATTAATTACATCATACACATTTAGTTTAACTCATTATCATTATTTGTATTTTATTTGTTTGTTTCATTATATTCTTTATTTCATTTCTTTATTTTCTCATATTCTCATTCTTTTTTATTTATTTTTATTTCTTATTTTCAATTTCTTTGTTTTATTAAATTAAACATTGATGAATTTAACTTATTTGATTTTTCTATTAATTCAAACAAATTTATTTCAAATAATCAAATATTGAATTAATATTATCATTTCATCAATTACATCACAACACAATCTGATTGATTTATATTACGTTTGTTTTCTGTTATAGTTCTAGTACTAATTAATTTCCATTCACCTACTATTTCTTTTCCATTCTATTTGATTTAATTTCTCTTCTGTATGTATTTATTTCATATGTTATACTATATTCTGTTTCTTTTATTATTTTACCTTTTTCTTCTCTTTCTTCATATCTAATTTCTTTATATTCACCGTTTAGTTTATTAATTTCTTCTTCATCAATTAACTCCATTCCTCTTCCCCATTCAATTAATCTTTCTATTTCTTTTTCTGATCTTCTGTTATCAAAATATTCATCTGGTTGTGAATCTACATAATACATTGGTATATCAATATTTTCATTTGTTTTATTTATTTGATTTATAAATGAAATTATGTTTTCTTTGAATTGTTCTTTGTTAATTTTACCTTTTTCAATTTTCTTTGGTGGAAGAGAATTATAACATTTATTCCAAACAATAGAAACATGTTTCCAAATGTCTTTTATTGTGAAAACATCATTTATAATTTTAATAACTTGTTTAATATTATCAGTAAATTTACAATTAGTAAATTCTATTGTTAATATAATTCATTGTAATCCTTCAGCTCTAACACAATTAACAATATTCTGAATATGTTTATTATCAAAATTATTAGTATAATTAACACCAGGTGTATCAATAACAATTACATCATTTCTGTCTCTTTCTCCAAAACATTTAAGATGTTTATTTGCTTCTGAATTTAGACTATCACCTACTTTAAAAATATTCTTCTGTAAAATGAAATTACCAAGTGAACTTTTACATTTTCCTGATTCTCCAATTCAAAGTAATTTGGTTTGTTTTTGTTTTAATTCATCTGTTTGTAAATTCATTATTTATTTTTAATTCCTATTTATTTAAATATTATTTCAGTGTATTTAGAATTATTTTTGTTTTAAAATACCAGAGATATATGTTAGATAAAAAGAATAAAACTAGTCTATTATTTGATATGACTATTGTGGCTGATCACAATATTAATGGAGAATATTGGAAGAAAAGAAATATGTATAATGAATTAAAGAATATTCTAATGAAAATAGAAAAATTAAAAGATGTCAAAATAAATGGAGTAGTAATCTAAATAAATGGATTAATAAATAAAGAAAGTATTAGATTAATTAAAGAATTAAAGAATGACATTGACATCGAGAAAGAAATAAAAAACAATTGTAATTAAAAACATGATTGATGTCATGGAATACTGCTTCTATCACAACCAAACATACTCCGTAGAGATAGTAGAAGAAAATATATGGAATTAGTCAGTCTTTAATGAAAAAAGAACAATAAAATTAATTCTTATTTAATTACTTATAATTTAATTTTTTATTATATTATTAACTAAAAATAAAATAAAAGAAAAATTTCTTAACATCATTTAGTATGTTCAGTTTCTCCTCTAAAGCTGCTATCCCATCCAAATCTCAACAATACATACCTACAAAACCTATGGCTGCTCCTCGTAGGGTTGAACAATTATCAGTAAATTCTCCTCTTAAAAAAGAAATTGAAAGTAAACCAAAAAAAGATGATGAAAAAAAGCCAACCCAATTGTCGTTGGATATGTTTGATGTTGGAAAACCACTTGGTCAAGGAAAATTTGGAAATGTTTATCTTGTAAAATACAAAAAATAGTTTGTTTTAGATATTCATTTATTAAATAAGGAGGAGTTAATTCTTTAGTGACTATGTTTGTGCATTAAAAGTTATATTTAAAAGACAGTTACAACAATACCGGATGGAGATTCAAATGAAAAGAGAGATTGAGTTACAATCTCATCTTAATCATCCTAATATTCTCAAATTATTCGGATTTTTTGAAGATAAAAACAGGTGGTTCCTTGTTCTTGAATATTGTAAGAAAGGTGAATTATATGGGTTATTACAACAAGCTGGTCGTTTTGATGAAAGAAGAGCTGCTCGATACATAAAAGCAACAACTGAAGCTTTAAAGTATTGTCAAGAGATGAATTGTATTCATCGTGATTTAAAACCAGAAAACATCATGATAGATCACAATGATCAAGTCAAATTAGCTGACTTTGGATGGTCTGTTCATACTAATACTAAAAGAAATACTTATTGTGGTACATTAGATTATTTATGTCCTGAAATTGTATTAGAAAAATATTATGATGGATCGATTGACCAATGGTGTTTAGGAGTTTTAACATTTGAACTATGTACTGGTGAACCTCCATTTCAATCTAACAGTCGTGAAGAGGTTATGAAAAAAGTCAGAAATGTTAAATATTCTTTTCCAAGCTATCTCACAAATGATTGCAAAGATTTTATTAACAAACTAATTCAATATGATCCTTCTAAAAGAATGAGTTTTGCTGAGTGTTTAGTTCATCCATGGATAATCAAAAACACAACAAATTGACTTTTATTTTCTCGTTATTTTATTTTTTGTGTATTTAAACTTAAAAACAATAATTAATGGAAAAACAATGGGAAAAATATCAAATTTTACATTCTAAAGATGTAATACTTGAAGACTCACATGATTGGACATTAAATACATTATCACGTGTTGGTGTTTGTTTATTTTGTTTGTTTATAAGTAGAACATTATTAATTGATATGATAAATTATTAATAATTAGGGATTGGATATTTCATTTTCAACAAATCATCAAAATCTTTCAATTGGTTGTTTAGTTGTTTGTGAATATCCTTCTGGAAAAGAGTTATTAACATTAACATGTCGTAAAATAATTACAATTCCTTATATTTCAGGATTTCTTGGATTTAGAGAAGTAGAAGTTTATCATGAACTACTCAACGATTGTAAAGAAAAGTACCCTGAGTTATATCCACAAGTTGTGCTTGTTGATGGAAATGGATATTATCATCCCCGAAGATTTGGTTCTGCAACTCATGTTGGAGTTTATTGTGATATACCATCAATTGGTGTTGCAAAAGTTTGTATTTTTTGTGTTTTATCCACAGAATAGTTGTAAGAATGTAGACTGTATTATGTGTTGATGGGATAGGAAAGAAGGAGATTAATATAATTACTTCACAAATCAAACCAGGTGAATCAACTACAGTCAGTACTTCAAATGGAGAAGTGTTATGTGAGGTTATAAGAAGTAGAGGTGGTAGTATAAATCCAATCATTGTTAGTTGTGGGAATAAAGTTTCACTTTCAACAGCAGTAATTATCTGTAAAGAATGTTGTTTACATAAAATCCCAGAGCCTATTCGACTAGCTGATTTAATTTCAAGAAAGTTGTTAAGAGATGAAGGATTACTCCCACACATGAATTAGAGATAAGCAAAACGAAAAAGAAGATTAAAATTATTACATATAAATGAAAAGTCAACAATATATTTCTTTTCAAAAAAAGGAATTAACAAATTAAACTTCAATCAATCATTTACAATGATTAAAAAAAGATACAACTTGAAGAGATTTATCTGTCAAATATTGTATTATATTTTAATAACATAAAAACAGGTGAATTGTTTACATTAATAAATAAAAAATGTAAAGACTCACTTCAAATGTTACATATCAATCCATCATATTCTGTTGAGAAAGTTAATGAATATTTTCATATTAAAGAATGTAATTTTCAACTCCAAAAATCGTTTATAAAAGAAATGAAATTATTCCCTCATCTTGAAACAGTGTGATTTACAGAACAAATTATTCAATTTCTTCCATTAATTCCTTCACAAATTAAATTGATTCGACTTCTGTTATTAATCCAAAATCTACAATATTAAGAAATGATTATTAGAAAGTAAGAATCGCTTCATTAACATTAAAAAATCCTAAATACTCTTTTGATCTTTCAGAATTTACTTTTTTAACAAGTCTATCACTTAATATTAAGAAACACATAAGAGTTAATGATTTTATTAGAAATAAATATCATCGTTTTGAAAGAGTCTATGTTATGATGGAAGGATTTGTTGATATCAACTTTATTAATCACATTGATCAATTCAATATTAGAAAAGTAATTATTGAATTTGATAAACAAGAAATATCAGAATCAGTCATTAAAAATAAGAAACTCCTTAAAAGAATTACATTTTGTTACAAAGAATGTTATTATGCTATTTCTAATGATGGTATTATTCACAATAAACGATTAGTTGATGGATTTGAAATAACAGAAAAAGGATTTAATAATGATACAATACTTCAGTATTATCCTGAACATATAAAAATAAATGGATTTAGTACAAAGAAAATTGAAATGGATTTTAGTTCATTCACATTCATAAAATCAATCAAATCAACAACATCTTCAATTTGTTTCAATCAACCAACTCCTTTAACACATTTAGATTCAAAATATTTCTATGAAATATCTTCTCTTAAAGAATTACATCTTCAATGAAAATATATTCAACATTTATTTCTTCCTAATAATTTAACAGCTTTAACAATTACTGATTTTATTCAAATTTCTCATTGTTCTCAATTAATTCGACTTTCTTTGTGTTCAAACAAATCATTTCCAATTATGTTATATCCAATGTTAACATATTTGTCATTGTCATGTAATACTTGTGGTAGTCTTTGTTTATTAACACAATTAAAAGTGTTGTACTTAAACAAAATCATTAAAAGTGTTGATGTTGAATCATTTTATCCTACTTCATTAGAATTTTTACAATGTTATTCTAATTCTTTACCAAAGAAATTATTAATTACACAATTAGTATTAAATAATTCTTTAAACAACATAATATCCAATATTATTCATATCTTTGTAGTTTAAAAACATTGGGATTAATTTCATATTCAACTTTACTTCCTTCTTCTTTGACTTCTTTAACTGTATCATGTTTTGGTTTGTCACAAAATCATATATCATTTAGTGAAATAAATTGTATTAATGTTCAGCAACTTCACATTGAAAATTGTAATACTCATAATGTAGAATTACCATCTTGTCTTGATTCACTTTATCTTCATTATTCTGAGTTTGAAATAACCAGTACAAGTATATTTTATACTTTGATTCTTAATGAAAGTAAAATTAATGGAGAAATGATTCAAAAAGAATTTATAAAGAATTTCTATTGCAAAAGATCAAAAGAAAGTGAGTTTATTAACATTGAATTGTATTTATCACTTCCTCAAGTAAAATTTTGTTATTGTCAGAAATAAAAAATTTATTATTTTTACGTTAGTTTTAAAACTAATAAAAATAATTAATTGATGAATAATGAAGTTTCAATATTCTTTTATGGCGATTCAAATCTTTATGGAATTGAAGCTGTGACTTATAAACGTTATTCTTCCAAAGACCGATTTTCTAACATTGTCATTGAACAATTAAAAAAAGAATTTACAAAAGTCAATTGTATTGTTGATGGAAAACCTGCTCGTTCATTGAAATATGAAAACATCCCATTTGGCATTACTAATGGATTAAAAGACTATGATCAATTCTTATTAAAGATTACCTCCAATCCATTTTCAACAAACAAAGTATTAATCCTTGCATTATGTATTAATGACATTCTTTCAAAAGCAACTTCACAACAAGTTATTGATGCATTACAACAATACATCGAAAAAGTACAAAAACAAACAAAAATAATTATTTTAATTCCACCACCACTTCAATATTGTACAATTGATAGTTGGAAATCCACAGTAAATCCAGTGATTTCAGAATCATTGAATTTTATTCATCAATTAAAAGTTGATGTTGAAATGTGGAAAAAGCAAGAAATAATAGATGGATTTGTTGATTTAGATGGAATGAGTGTTGGAGCAGATGGTGTTCATTTCACATCTGATTCACATCACAAAATTGCAGAAAAATTACTTTCAATTCTTCATGATGTTTTAAATTGAATTATTTTTCGCAGATTTATAAAGTCAAACAGGAATAAAACACAACATAAAAGAACTTAGACTAATTGAAGAAGAAGTAAGACTTTTTATGACAATAAAATCAATAGTTATTTATGCTGATGAAGGGACTATTGATGTTTGTGTTTATTACTCAATAAAAATGCTTCATTCTCAATACCAAGAAGCTCAAATAAGAAAAATATATTCTAATGAGTTAATTGAAGGTAAATGGATTTATGAAACTGATTTGTTTGTTATGCCAGGTGGTGCTGATCGTCCATTTCACAAAAAACTCAATGGTAAAGGAGTTGAAGTATTAAAAGAATTTATTAATGATGGTGGAAAGTATCTTGGAATTTGTGCAGGAGCATATTTTGCATCATCATTTATTGAATTTAATAAAGATGTTGCAAATGAATTAACACTATGTGAAGAAAGAACATTAAAACTCTTCAATGGGATTGCTCATAAACCAATGTATCAAGGATTTGAAGAATATTCTGAACGAGGAGCTGTCATAATTCCTATTTATTATCAAAACAATGAAAAAGTCGAACTTTATTATAATGGAGGATGTTCATTTGTTGATAATTTAAATCAATACAAAGAGAGTCATTTTCTTGCAAAATATCCAAATGGAATGAATGCATTATTCTTTGACATTATTGGTAAAGGAAAAGTTATTCTTTCTGGTCCTCATTTTGAATTAGACATAGAATGATGTGGTAAAATGCTTAAAGAAAGTCAGAAAAGTGAATTTGAAATGAAGAGAAAACTCTTTTTGAAATATATTTTTTCATATTTTTAATTCCATCATTGTTTAATCATCTTCATTTTTATTATTTCATTTGATGATCACTACTATCAGAGTGTATAATGACATTGGAACATCTACTCTTTGTGTTTATAACACAATTCATTTATTTCATCATTTTTTCCCTTGTGCTAATGTTTTTGTAATTTCTTCTTCAGAAATTAAGACGAGTCAATGGGTTGAAAATACTGATTTGTTAGTCATTCCTGGAGGTGAGGATTTGCCATATCTTGACATGCTTCAGATGGATGGAATTGAATTGATTAAGTCGTTTGTTCTCAATGGCGGAAAGTTCTTAGGGATATGTGCTGGAGCATATTTTTCGTCATCATACATTAAGTTCAATGCAAATTCACAATTACCCATTGAAGGAGAACGTTACTTAAAATTTTACGAAGGAAATGCAATTGGTCCAGTGTATGATGGATATCAACCAAATAGTGAGTCAGGTGCACATATAATAAAGATAAAGTACAATAATAGTTATGCGTATATTTATTATAATGGAGGTTGTTATTTTGATGATAATAACAGTAAAGTAGAAGGTACTTATTTTGCGTTGTATGAAGATGGCAAACCATGTGGATATACTAGAAGATATGGAAAAGGGAAAATTCTCATCACGGGATTTCATTTTGAGTTTGATGAACATTGTTGTTCTCATTTGTTAAGTCAATTAAGGTATGACGATTTTGAATTAAGAAGAGAAAGTCTTATTAGATACATTTTATCATTATTGAGTGATAGTTAACAAAGGGATATTGATTGTTTTGTACAGAAGAGAATAGACAACAAGATGAAGAGAGTCATTTGAAGTTAAAGTGAGATATATTCAATAACATAATTAAGAAATGTACTAAGAAAACGAATAAAATCAAAATGGAATTTAATAACACATAGAATATGAGTTAATAAAACAATAAAGACAAAATAAAACAATGGAGAATAACGAGGAGATTTAAAGAAAAAAACAAACCAGTGTTATGATGTACAAATAATCATAACATAATACAAACATACTTTATTTGCTTAAATAGAAAGTATTGTTTTTTTGATTCATCATTTTTTCTTCTAATAAATTTGTTTTTTATTTTTGTTATTATAAAAATAAGACAATTAAAAATAGAATAATTGATTATTTCATTTTTATATAATATCAATTCCTTATAAATATCATGTTATAATTAATTGTTAAAT